GTTAGTCAAATGACATTTTTGGCAAAACATTTTGCAACCTATAAATAATGAAACAAATGTCACGGTAATCTTGGGTTTACTAACGAACATTTGTTAGAATATCCTATGTAATATGTACGAGTTTGATAAATATATGACTATGACCAAATAAATGTTTTGTGTTGAAGGATGTTGGGGAGTCATATTTGACATGAAGTTTCCTGAAGCCAGCGATGGCCATGTCGCTGTTACGAACATCGTCCTTTGGAGATATTTACCCACAAGAAACATCTGCGAAGTATATGCGCTTCGTGAAAGACTTGAAACTTAAGTTATCTTAGTATGGAAGTATGCTTCAATTTGCTACACGACAGTTTGTAATGTTTCATGAAGAACTCTGACTCATAAGTGACTTGAATATCCATGATCATCCCAAACAAATATAATACAGAATTCATGGTTGCAGTTCAGAATTTCGTCCGTGTGATTTCATGCCAGAGAATATGCATGGGTGTATGGTTCAAATTCTTACACCTTTAAAAACATCGGGTAAATTGTATTCGACACACACGATGAGTTGTCGTTTCAGTAATGTGGAAGTACGTGTCCGAGAACGTGTAGTGTTCTGAATCTCGGTCCAGAACACTTTACAGGCGTTCTAAAAGTGTTACATCGTCAGAACACGTTGAAGCGTTCTAAATATGTTTGTAGAACACTCCTGTTCTTGGTCGAGAACATCAACGTTCAGAATATTTTCAGAACACATGGACGCGTTCTAAAAGTGTTACATCCATGTGTTCTGTCTAGTGTTCAGAAGTGGAACACTTGGGTTTAGAGTGCAGTTTTGGCCATGTTTAGATGTGGTTCCCTTCCCACTGCAGTAGAAACTGGTCGTTATACTTGACCACTAACCCTTTTAAATGATAGCATTTGTCCAAATTCTTTTAGTATTTATAATATCCGCTTTGTTGAAGATGAGAGGCACTTTTTAATTCCATTTCCTTTTTATTCTGACTGAAGAGATGAACTTTTAATATTTGCACGTAATGGTGTACCCAATCTTAACGGCCTTAACGAGACAGAATTGTTAATACATATTTTACAGAATGATAATTCAGTAAACATTTTATCTTGAACGTTGTTTAAATATCCATGTATAAAAGAAAACTTTCTTTTATGTCATAATTATATATCGCAACTACTGATATTTTATTCTGTATACACTGATCGTGTGGTTGCATTTATATATAAAATATGTAACACTATTTTATTCATTAAGATACCGAAATAGTACATATTACATATACTATGTCATTTTGTATTAATGTTGTAACCGTGTCTTTTTGCTGGGCGTTACTTTAATACTTTAATATGTAACCAACCCATTGTTTAAGTAACCATGACAGCTGTAACGCGTGACAGCTAAATAAACCCTCTCTCTCCCTTGTTGCGGGGGAGACTCATGTTAATATATATATAGATATTGACCTCCATGTATTGGTTACACGAGCAATTCTAATTAGGACATGGATGTTGGAAATAAAAATACGTATATAATGCAACTTGTAAAACTGTTAACTAGATGTAGTTACAAGACATATCTTATAACTGAAACGATATATATATATATGCAAATATGTTTTACATATATGTGTATGTGTGTGTGTGTGAGTTTGTGTTTATTCAAATTTGTAACAACTTAAACTCGTTGCATGGAGAGCAGAGTTGTAAGTGTCATGACGAAAAATGCAATACGCCCGCGATAGACTCTTCCTGTGCCGAAACACACAACATCTTGACATCTTAGAGGCACAAGGTATCTACCACGTTCATAAATATTACGTGGGAACTGGCATATCAAAAGTGGTGTAACGCCTCGTAGATGAGGCCATATCACCAGCCCTGTATAAAATACGTTACTACCATACTGGTATGACATGCAGCTCAGGTTGGTCTTTACAAGGCTCTGCCAACACATATACATCAATGTTTTTATGAGGACTTTGTTACATATGAACAGGCCATGCATGGCATATGCGGTATTGATGGATTTTCAGAACTAAAATGAAACTAGAGTACAAAAGCGTGAAAGTCAAGCAAACTGCCATCTGCATGGGACAGTGTTGTACACGGCTGTGATTGCTGCGTGTATATCACACGTTTGCTGGGCCTCACACCTCATCAAGTATATATCCAGGTGTACTCGTGCCTTCTATTATACATAGTCCACTGTTTGTCACGTACGACATCTGTCTGGTGTGTAAAGTATAACCATGTTGATTTCAGGTTCTTGGTAAAGTTGACATAAACTTGAGTCCACAAACAAATTCATTTCAGTCTTGTGAAAACATGCGCTCTGAGGTTCACGCAGTAACAGAAGTATTTGTATTCCTATTGTATTATCGCAATCTATGCATAAAAAGATGTTATGTTAGAACCATCATCCATCAATCCATCTCGGTGCACATGTTCTTGGTGTTGACTCATGAAGAAATTGTAGATTCAGTGTATAAACCTATTATAGTCACGTCTGCAATTATTGACTCTACTCCCTATGTATATTCTACATCAATTTTCAGACGTATTGCATCGCGGAACTGATATCTTGAAATATTAGAATGAATGATATTTTAATAAAGTGTCACATGTTGTACATAAGCAGATAAATTACATTTTATTCATATTAAAAAAACATCCGTCCAAAGAGGCCCACGAGACACTCGTGTCACTAAGATAACAATAAAAATGCACAAAGTGCTTGTAGTTAAATAATTGATAAAAATATCTAACATTTTAAAACCTCTTATTAAGTATTAATGTTAACACAGAATTAGACATCACCATACAGTGTCTGTTATTGGATGATTCGATTGGCCATTGTGTCAGTACTGACATTTTGTTTTCATAACCTCGATGTATCATGAGGTAATCCAATCGTACGCCCGTACTGACGCAAGCTGAGTTGAGTACGAATACAATATACTGTATTGGCAGATGGGATGTTGTCATCAACCCACATTTTAGGAAATAACATAATCCACTGTTGTGTGAAAGGCATTGTCTTGTCAGATTGGCATTAACAAGCTGGACACTTTGCGATGCCTTGTTTGTTATCCATCCACCCTCCCATCCATCCATCCATCCAAGTGTATTTGGCGTTACATCATGAAGAAATTGTAGATTCAGTATATATACCTATTAGTCATGTCTGCAATGATTGACTTTACGCTCGATGTATATTCTACGTCAATGTACAGACCAGTATATGAAGGAATCATTAATCACTTTAGGACATGCTAATTTGAGTAACATAGACAAATTTATTTAACAAATGACCATCAGAGACCTGATGATGACCGACATAAGTCCCCCGCCGATTGTTGAGGGTCATTACGTCAGTCTCCACCTGGTGGAGGTCCAAGCACGGACATGTAGCGGTCAGTTGCGTCACCCTTTGATCTCGGCTGGCCCCTAACGGTCAGTATTTGGCTTAACCTGTTATCGAGATAATTAGAGGGTGGGGGTAGACATGGCGCGCGCGGTTACGGTTGGGGAAAGAGTTCTCAAAAGAGCAAGAGAGGTCAATGCCTCAGTCCCTGGTTCATTAGAGGCCATGCAGTCAAAACAAATGATAGAAACTGTATGCAGTAATTTCATTGTTTCAGACAAATTGTCCATCCAAATTAAAGCAATTAGTAATTTCACGTCTCATTGGCATATTTTAAATTCCATATGTGTTTTTTTAGAGTTATTCAGAATAGCTGAGTCGTGAACAACCAAAGGCATCATTAACTTCTGAAAAACTGTGTTGTGGACACAGTATTTTATAGTTGTATTTAGGGGGATAGTATTGTCCTTGGTAAGTGCAAACGTGTTTTTAACAATATGTCGATACCCGCCAAGAATAATGCACAAAATTACACAGAACACAAATGAGTCAAATGACTAGAAAATAACTACTGAAGGTTATATATTCGGAACAACATAGTTTTTCGCAACTCTAATTTCTAACGATGAGCAGTTTCAATGGAGATAGAACCGGTCCATATTGTTACACACATCTATCTACCAAAGTGTATACTTCAAATTGTTAAACAGTCCCCGAAAAGCTTGTTTTTTGAACGACTCTGACATTATACATTAATGCAGCATGCATCTGAGCATTAGCAGCCACCCGTGTTCTTACAGCGAGTTAATGATTTATTTAGAAACATGTCTTTTGTCTATACACATGCACATATATAGCCTTCCATGTGTTGATGCACTGCCAGTTCATCACCCCGAGGCAATGGTGGTGTCAAATATAAAAACATAGAACAAAAAGTAATGATAGAAGGGTACCGGCAGTGATTGGTGTGTCGGGCATACCCCTATGGCTATATACTCTATAGGGATCTGTACTGTCTTGTGGCATAAATTATAACACAGATACATGCACAATACACACCTGTCATTTAAGTGTTAATTCGTGGACATCTAATATAGTTCCTTTAAAAATCCTTACATATCTTGACACCTTTATATGTAGTTTGATCGTTCTGTATTTATTGATAACATGTACACTGTGAATAAACAATAAAAGAATATTGCATATTTTAAAAATATATGAAATATATAAACGAAATATGTTATTTCGTCATCATTATTTTGCGAATGCTGCATCATTCTGACACAATACCAAAATACATATGATGAAAGTAATGTGTAATCTCCCAGGAGGGTAAATATACTGCTCACGAAATATATAGGTACATCTTATACACAAGGTCTATGTATATCTGCCGTTTTATCCTCTGCGTCACATGGATTTCTACCATATGAGATTGGGTGGTACAAAAAGTCTAAAGTCAGTTATTACCAAATTATTTCATTAATGTCACTGAGTTATGGATTTGAAATAAAAAGAGATGTCAGTCCGTTAAAATGTCAAATTTTCAAAAACATAAACACACGCTCAGCCGCGTGCCCCTCACACAACAAAACGCTATGCATTGTGGGAATGATTGGGAAGAACCCTCAATCGTTTAGAAACGTCACAACTCTCAACCAATCAGGGCCGCGGACCGTTGGTTCGTAGCGATTTAGTGGCGATAGACTAGACCTGACGATCAGAGTCAACTATCTTGTCTGTTTGCATGAATCTGGATTCATCTTTGGCAAATTTTACGATATGAAAGGTAAGTTAATTATATATTCTACATGTGAACAATGCAGCTCAAGTCTAATTAATCTATACAGTTAATAAGCCGTATTGTTTTGATCGAGGGGGCGGGATCTCCCAACCGCTAAGCCGGAGCCTGTTTTGATAGAGGCGGACTCGCCAGGTTCATTTTCAATCATGTGTAATAATTTGTAATATGTGTACATTTTAGTAAAGTAGACAGGTAGTTTAAACTCATCAATGTTAGCATTATGTCCAGTGTCACCAGTTCTCCTTTTCACGGCTATATTCGCCATTTTCTCATTCGTTTTGGCGCAATGGTCAGCGAACGAGACCGATTCAACTGTTCGAGTGTCCGCCAATTTCTTGTAGAAACTATCCGAATTTTTAAGGGACGTGTATTATACAGCGCTTTCCTGCAAACATATCTGATTATGTTGCGCCAGTAACATATCATTAACGAAAGGTGCAGTCTATTTACATCACGATGTTGATATAATACCGAAGGAAAAACGTGGCAAAATATTCAGCAGGCCAAGGCTAATAGGCCGAGGGCTGTAGATATTATGAAGCATTATGCAATTGCGAATCTGACACATGCAGTCAGTTGTAAGCTGACCTGAATAATTGGTTTCTGTAGGCAGTTACTTGTACATTAAGAGAGTACTTAATAAATATACAAAATATATAATATTTTGCTTCATAATCGTGCGTGAAACACTAGCTATATAGATCAACAGTTTGGCTACTAGATGTCATCAGGCTAATGTCGGCCAATTTGTATAATACTGCAATGTAATGACAAATACAATAGAAATATCAACGTGCACAGTGAAGAAATAAACAAGTGTTATCGCAATTGTTTAATCATTGTACAGGCCTATGGGTAAATGTGTTATCAAATTCAAATATCAACCTGAAGAAAGTATGTGGCGAGGTCCTTATTTTGACATAATATCTTCCCATTGGCAGCATATTTTTCATTAACTACTTAATCTCTTTAATTAACAACCCATTAATTAACGTAACAAAAGCTTAAAGAACCATTGAAGGTGTACTGCTGGAATGTTTTGACAAGTATATCAATCTACTTGTTACTGTTGTTAACAAGTTCTAAATATTTGCGCTCTGATTGGCTAATATGAAATTCAACGTGTCTTGATTGGTTGCTAGGCTTTGTTGCCCCCACGCGGTGCTAATTTTAGCTACGCACATGGCAAGTGCGATCGGGTCGTGTCTCGACTTGAAATAGGACCGTGAAGCACTGTTAGCGTCAGTTCCATCCACAGTGTCTTACCAATCGGTCATATGTCTATTGTAGATATGTTTTGGCAAAACTGTAAGTAGATATTCATAATCCGCAGCTATTTATGTAATGGTTTACATAGTTCCGATCAAACAAGAAACGGGTCATTTCCTTGTGTTAAGGCCTACAAGACTGCAATTTGTAAATCAGCCATGGCGACCACCATCATCCTTCTTATGCGTCGAGTCGTCTCCTATGTTTATAAATACATTTTTGTTTCATTGGAATTTCAATTTTGTAAAAACTCTGATTTGGACAGGTGCTTACGTATTACTTAAAAAAATACTGATGGATATCTTGAACAATTATATATTTGCTTTCAACCGAGCTTGGTAATTATTATTTTATTGTACACACTAATAGTTTCTTCTTCTTATTTTTTAGAAAGGATAACTGGGATATTACTGACCAAGGCACTGTAACAGTTCATATATAATAACTATACTACATGTATCTATAAACTTGTACTTGCTTTCTTGGTTTCAGTGATACAGAGTATAAGTAGGCTGCAGCGATCACCTGAAAATGTCTTCATCCCTGTGCACACACACCTGCGTCCCCGTACGCGCAGCAGTGTCACTATATGGCATCTTCCGGAGGAAATACTCCTACATTTTCTCAAAGGTCTTCAGATAAAAGATTTGTTGAACATGAGGGTGGTAAGTCCACAGTTTTAATTTTGTCTAATGTACGGTGAATAACATACTTGATTTGGTTTTCATATTATGATGCTTTCAAATGTGTTATGATGTAATCACCAGTTGCTTATAATATAAGAGTATTTTCATTATCAATTGTATTGCGATGGTTTCTAATGCACACATATACAGTGGCTGTATAGGTTGATAGGTTGGTCTGTATTCCTTAACAGGGGTGCTGCTTAATTCTGCTCATTCAAAGAAAATACTTTTGATCATTTCAGTGGAAATATATGCAAAGTACTTACTATGTTTCTTTTACCTGATTTTGCTGGGATGCAATTGTATTCCTTTTTAGTAGCATGTTTGAATGATGAATATGTTGCTTGCCAGGTTCATCCCTACTTCCTGCAACTGATTGACACACACACCTCTGTCTGGACAGCAGTTACATTCCACAACTGCTGGCCCTCCCCGGCCAATCTACAACATTTCCAAAGGTGAGTGTAGTGTTCACAGAGAAACTGTTCCATACAGTTTACAGCAGTAAATTCCACGTGATTGAGAGTTAATTTAAATTACTTCTACAATATTGACAATATACCAAATACATGGTTTGAATATGAATGTGTCAACTGTGTAGATCCAACTTGGAATAGGTCTTCAGCAACCCATGCTTGCCATAAAAGGCGACTATGCTTGTCGTAAGAGTCAATTAACAGGATCGGGTGATGAGGCTCGCTGCCTTGGTTGATGCATGTCATCGCATCCCAATTGCATAGTCTGGTCCAGACTCGATTATTTACAGACTGCTGTCATATAGCTGAAATATTGCTGAGTGCGGCGTTTAACAACAAACAAACGAATATCAGTATGTTACGTCTGTGGGCTATTAATGACAATGTTTCTTTCCACTGTACAGAGCTCAAGAAAATGGTAACCTGGAAGCCTTAATCAAACTTGCTGTTGCATACCTCTACAGTGAGGGCTGTAAGTATCTCTTCAATCTGTATTCATGTTCAATGTCAGATAACATTGGAGGTTATGTTTTCCACAGAAAAATTTAATGTAGTCAGTCAAATAGTTGCTCTGTAATGATGAAGACAGTGACAAAATTTTTCCATTTCTGTTAGTCAAGATTTATTTATATAGCTGTTTACTTCAGTGCCAAGTCCTGCTACCCCTGAATTGTGTCCATCCAATGGTAATCGTGCAGCAGAGCTGTTCTGCAAGACTGAGGCTCTCACTCCCAACACAGTCCCTTTCACATGGCTCTTTATTCGCCCTCCATGGTCCATGAGCGGTGCCTGCTGTAAGGAGGGCGTCTTTCAGTTCATGAAACAATACCTAGAGAAGGTAATTATGCTTTGCTATTCTTTGCAACACCATATAACTTGCAGGATGCACTCTTATGTAGTCAGTGTCAACAATATCAAAGTATTTGAATATTTTAAGAAAATGTTAGAAGAAAATATAGGAATCAAACAATGTTATGCTGTTGGACAGATGGGTCTTCAGCAACCCATGCTTTTTGTAAGAGGCGACTTATGGGATCGGGTGGTCAGGCTTGCTGACTTTGATGCATGTCATATATCAATTGCGTGGATTGATGCTCATGATACCAATCACTGGATTGTCTGGCCCAGACTAGATTATTTACAGACCACTGTCATATAGCTGGAATATTGCTGAGTGCGGATTTAAACAACAAACAAACAAATTGAGAATGCAGTAGTACTTATTATGAAGAAATTACTGTAAGTGGAGTTGTATGAGCTGTATGTAGTATTGTGTTGTTGCAGGAAGTGAATCGAGATATCAGTGTTTGTGTGGGGAAGATGCTGCAGCTCCTGGATGGGGAAGGTACCGAGACGGCCGCCATCCACTACCTGCAGTTAGCTGCCAAACATGGCTCAGCTGATGCTGCACTTGCATTGTGGGAGTTGCAGTATTCGGAGAGGGTAAGATGTTTTCTCACATACCAGGTATTGAAAGTGCTATGTGTAAACAATTTGTTTCTTAAATGTATATTTTCACAGGTTATATCTGAAAAAGAGTTCCTTTTCAAAACAATAACCTCCAAATGTTCTGTTCTTCTTGTGCAGGTATTAGATAAAGCCTCTGAACTAGCAAGTATGCGCCAGTTGCGAGATGTGGCCAGTATGGGGTGTCTGAACGCCCGACTCTATTTGTGCAAGTATTATGCATCAGGGAAATATGGTGGCATATCTCGCTCTCAAGTGGCAGCATTCCTGAGAGAAGTCTTTCAAACTACCTCACCCACGGGCACTCACAAGACATTCCAGAACCATAGAGACCTCACCCCGTCCATGAGGTAAGCATGAAGGACAAGATCAGTGGAATTAATGAAGCCACCTGTTGTGCTTTATAACACTTTGCAGGTCCATGTTGGTAGCACATGTATAATGTTTGGATGTCCTCTTCAGATACATCCTTGTTGACTGGCTGGTAGAAGTAGCGGGCATGAAGGACTTCTCCACCCTCACCCTCCACGCTGCCGTCAACCTGGTGGATCGATTCCTGCAGGTGCACACTGTCCCCCGCTCTCAGCTACAGCTCCTGGGAGTTGCAGCTATGGTCATTTGCTCAAGGTCAGTTCCTTCAGTCGTCATCACAATCTGTACTTATTAATTCAAAGACCCTGTGGCGATTCCAGGATTAAAATGGTCCCCAGTAACCAATGCTTGTATAATGGGCAACTAAAATGGATTGGTGGTCATGTGACTTGATTGATTGCATGTCATTGTACCCCACACTATGAGGTGTTGCTCAGGACAGCAACCACTGGTTTGTCTTGCCCAGACACAACTGGAATACTGCTGACTGCGGCATTAAATACATTCACTCACTACTCACAAAACATGCCCAAAAGAAATTTTTTAATGAAAACTGCTCTGTTGCCTTGGTTATTCTGTCATCCACTTGTAAGCATGTCTCACTGCCTCCATGTTGTGGATTGAAGACACATGTGAGCAGACTGTTATCAAATCTTTCACATTTTGGTATGACAATGTTTTTGCTACTTCTTTACATGCCAGCATCTTCATCTGATTGTGTGGTTGTATGTACAGATTCCTTGGTAAGGATATCATTACAATCCGTGAGGCAGCCTGGCTCACTGACAGCACCTACAGCTATGAGGATGTTGTGAGGATGATGGGAGAGATCACGGCGACGGTGCGGGGAAACATTCGCGTGGCCACCAGCCTGGACTACGTGAACATCTTGACAGTGTTGGCACCAGGCATGGACCGGCGCTGCATGAAGCTGGCGGAGTACATCTGTGAACTGAGCTTGCTGCAGGCCGAGATGGGACAGTACAGCACAGCTGAGATTGCCTCTAGCTGTGTTCTCCTAGCCCGTATTCTAGTCAAAATGGGTAGGTGGATGTTTTTGTTATAATAAGAGTGGTTCAAGAGAACAATACAAGCCATACATATACTTGCACATGCTGTTAAAACATGGGAGATTGTAACATGGCCACTGTAACACTACTATCTGTAAGTGCGTGTATCTGTTTAAAGATCTGGGTCTAGACTTTTGAAAGAATCTTGGGGCTAAGATTATCATGAAGCTAGCATAAGGACATCATACAGTCGTAGCCTATTTTTGAAACTATCATAGACCAAAGATAATGTATTCTTATCTTCATCAAAGATTGCAACTTAGATATATTTAATGATGATGAAAGATTGATAAGAAATCCATGAATACTCTGAGATTGAAGTTGTCGTTTTATCATAAACTTAAGATATCTTATCTTTGAACAAAAGTTGGTAAGATTAATCTTAAGAAAGACAATGTTGTTTGAAAATGTATAGCCTGGACCCTAGTTTTATGTACACAATCTGATGTTTTATCTTGTTGCTTCAGAAACTCCCTGGCCCTCCATGATGGAAGAGTTCACAGGATTTTCAGTTGATGACATCAGCAGGTGTGCCTTCCATGTCCATGAGAAATGGTGAGTGTTATCTCCCTGCTTTAGGTGGATCTCGCACATGCTAATCATTATGAAATTACCCTCAAGTAGGTAGTCCATTGATGGTGCAGATATTGTCTGTGAAAACCAGGGGTACTTAATTCTTAAATTACTAAATCCCTGAATTAATAGTTAACATGTTTACAAGTACCGTATATTGATGATATCACATAAAAATTGCTATGGTTGTCTTCAGCTTCATGGAGGGGTCAGTTGTCGACCATCGTGACATCACTCTACAAGCGGTCAAACAGCGATACTCAGACGAGAAATACCACTGTGTCAGCGACATTGATGTAAGTCATAGAATACTTAAAGCATAAATAATGTCCTTGCTTTGTTTGGGACATCTTTCTTGTAACATCTAAAACACAGAACAATAAAAACCCAAATAAAAGGTGTGAGAGCTTCGGTTTTAAGGAGATTGCTATTGATTACAGATAATGAGCTATGAAGAGCTCTGCTCCATCATGGGGGTGACAGAACACATCCTACATGGAACTGATGTGAAGCTCCGCTTCAAAAATGCAGATGAACTCATAGTCTCACCATCACGGGGCAAGAGTCGCAGTCACAGGTATGCACATTTTACATTGTTTAGTTCAATGCTACCCTGAGCAGGCTAATGATGTGAATAGCTTGAGCAGGTAAATGTTGTGACTGACTTGAGCAGGTAAATGTTGTGAATGACTTGGGCAGGCTAATGATGTGAATAGCTTGAGCAGGTAAATGTTGTGAATGACTTGGGCAGGCTAATGATGTGAATAGCTTGAGCAGGTAAATGTTGTGAATGACTTGGGCAGGCTAATGATGTGAATAGCTTGAGCAAGTAAATGTTGTGAATGACTTGGGCAGGCTAATGATGTGAGTAGCTTGAGCAGGTAAATGTTGTGAATGACTTGGGCAGGCTAATGATGTGAGTAGCTTGAGCAGGTAAATGTTGTGAATGACTTGAGCAGGCTAATGATGTGAATAGCTTGAGCAGGTAAATGTTGTGAATGACTTGGGCAGGCTAATGATGTGAGTAGCTTGAGCAGGTAAATGTTGTGAATGACTTGGGCAGGCTAATGATGTGAGTAGCTTGAGCAGGTAAATGTTGTGAATGACTTGAGCAGGCTAATGATGTGAATAGCTTGAGCAGGTAAATGTTGTGAATGACTTGAGCAGGCGATGATGTGAATGGCTTGAGCAGGTAAATGTAGTGAATGACTTGAGCAGGCTTATGATGTGAATAGCTTGAGCAGGTAAATGTTGTGAATGACTTGAGCAGGTAAATTTTGTGAATGACTTGAGCAGGTAAATGATGTGAATGACTTGAGCAGGTAAATGTTGTGAATGACTTGAGCAGGTAAATGCTGTGAATGACTTGAGAGGGTTAATTTTAAAATAAATGTGGATCTTTAGTTGATTATGAGTTTGGATTGAAGACATGTTGGTATATTGTCCTTGTTTATTGACTCAGAACTATCAAGCGCAGTATGGAACGTGAGAAGGCCTCAACTCCAACTGTTGAAAAGTGGGAGTTTCCAGAGAGTGCAGTGATGTCAGGCTATGATGGTGATCATGAAGATGATGATGAAGAATCATTCATGGAACTTAATGGTGAGGATATGAACGTAACTACTGGATCATTTGTCTCGGATGATGCTGTAAACATTTCATCTTTAAACATAATCACTAGCATCTATCGATCAAAACATATGCTTCTGCAGTACTCCTTGTAAGTTGATCTTGAGGTATTATTAGCTTCTTGTCCCTTTCAGACTCCATCAACAGTATGGTGACCTGTGACAGCTCTGACCTGACCATTGACTCTGACAGTGACACTTACACTGCATGTCTTTCAAGCTTCTGCAATGGAGAGTCTAGTTTTGGAGGAATCAAAGTGAAGCTGCTGGGTGCCTCCTCCTCCTCCTCCGCCTCTCCTGGCATCACCTTCCCCACCAGCTGCTGCTGTGCTCAGTCCTCCTCCTCTGGGGTATCCTCCTCCCCAAGCAGCCAGTCTAGTCCCTCGCCACAAACAAAACGCTCAAAGTGCAATTTCCGCAGTTTCTCTTCTTACTCCATGTCTCATAGTGACTATGACACAAAAAGTCCATTTGAGGATTCTTTCACCACAAGAAAGAGTCCCCGCACAGCAACACAGATGACCTCACCAAATGCTTTGAAAAAAAAGAGTCGTAAGAGATCAAGTAACACTGTGGGAAACAGCATGTCCTAGATGGCCTGCCAAGCTGCACGCATGTTACGTCAACCTGCAGATCCAACACTAGAAACAATATCCATGCCATATGTTGAACTAAACAGCCCAATGCATTGTGGAAAGAATACAGCATTACAGATAAATCACTGACAAAGTGTTTTCATTTTCAAGTAAGCTTGCTCACAAATCAATCATGACCAGGTTTTCCGAGTCAGTATCCTATATGTGATAAAATCCCATGTGGTATATGTCAAGGTCATAATCATTGATTGAACATATCCCATGTTCATAACTCAGGTGCTAACTCAATGAAATTGACAGGCTGCCACTTTCATTGATCATATGATCTCCTGGCCTGTGATATGTTATACTCTTGAGTGAATGGATGACATTTACATCTTCCTGAGGTATGCCTCAAGTTGACAGATGGACGGAATGTAATTACCATCCCAACTTGTGTTATTCCTCCATCGTGAGTGACTGGTTGTTACAAGTGCTATGTCTGTAAATTATAAAGAGCATATTGTTTATTTGTACATTAAGTTGTATTATTTATGAATCATCCATCAGTATTTAAAAAAATACTGTTTTGTTTATTTCTGTAAATAGTTGTTGTGTTGGAATTTCTGAGAGAAGTCCATATAAGCTTGGTTATCCTGAGCAGCACAGGTTACACAACCTCTGTTGTCAAGTTGCACATGTTGATTACCTTGTAAAATCATTGAGAAAATTATCAAAGGTTTCGCAAACTCTGCATACCATGATTTCTTGAACAAATTAGATTTTTCACATAGATGCCATAATCAAAATATCTTTTGGAAGAAGTATTTGTGCCCAATGTTTTATGTTCAGCACAGAGTGGAGTTGATGAGTTCCTGTACCGCAACATCCAGTACTGACAACACTATTTGACCAGGGCATTATTGTAGCGCCTTGCCATATTTTAAATGGCCTATTTTTTTAATAGATTTACAATATTTGACATTTTGTAAGTAAACTTTTACATAAAAATTATGTATGACTTATATGGTATGAAATTGATTGACGAAAGACAGGATCAAAATGTTTATGATGTGTTTGAAAAACTTGCCATAATGATGAAGAAAACAATGATTTGAGCATAATGTACTCTACAAACCTCACTGAACTGGCATAGGTTATAGAATGTTACAGTAAGGAACTGGCATAAGAGGAACTTATTTACATAACTATACCAAAACAAGAAATTTATTTATTGAGACCTGACAGTTGAGGGTAGACAGTTGGTGTGGAGTCAGTGTCAGTGACTGGGCTCACTCCACTCAACCAGCTTACAAGTTATAGTGTCAGCTGCATCGTCACTCAGGCCATGTTGCCAAGACTAGTTGGAAGTTGTGTTGCCAAGACCTACTATGTTGGAGGTTGTGTGTATGACGTTTGAGGAAGTTTGAATGCAATTGAGAGCTGATATGCAGGTCCGTGAATGTCACCAATGATATTGAGACATATTTATTATTACTTTGTAATAAACATAAATACAAAAATTACATCCTTGACTATGTTTTTATCCCACATTTATTCTGTGTATTTACTTTCTACCTGACAATGAGTGGTGCTGACATGCAGGATGTAGGTACCAGTTTTCATGACAGTGACCACTTCTTGACTTATCCTTCAATGTCGCACTCAGCAATATTCCAGCTATATGAAGGTTGTCTTTATATAATCAAGGCTTGAGCAGACAATCCGGTGATGGACATCACGCAATTGGTATACGATGACATGCATCAATGTAGTCTGACCACCCAATCTCGTTAGTCGCCTCTTACACCAAGCATGGTTTGCTGAAGATCCAACTGGATCTTCATGGGTCCAATTGCAAGAATTTCAAGAACATTCCAAAGGGCAGTGCATCATATAAACCAAATAGGATGTCCCGTGGTGGAATTCAACATAACAAAAACATGGCACATGCTTTCTTCATTGAAGGAAGGTCACTGGACCTGCCATCACTTGTCAATAGTCACACATGTATTCAAATAACTACAAGCACTCATCTTTCAAAAATATCTGCAGAAATTGGCATTTTAGTGAAAAGGCAAATACACTTAAGAATGACCTTCACTGTGACCACAACCTTAAAATTATGTAGGTCCCTCATGACCATTTCCAATTTTGGCCCCTGTCCTACAAAGCATACAAAGCTTCATTGACCTACAGTAAATCCTTCTTGACTTTGGTGGTAGACAAATGTTTTTCAGGCTATGGCAGGTAAAAATAACTTTTCCAAGGCTATAAAGAAGACATACATGCCACGATATTCTTGAGATGTCCAAGCACTGCATGGATTCAAAATAAAAGTGTCGGTGGCTGTCTAATTCAGGCAATACCTTTAAAGCATTTACATGGATCTGCTTGATTCAACATGATCAACATCAATGTGATATAGTGGGTTTGAATAGTCGGCGCATTCATATGGTGGGTTTGAATAGTCGGCGCGTTCATATGGTGGGTTTGAATAGTCGGTGCATTCATATGGTGGGTTTGAAAAGTCGGTGCATTCATATGGTGGGTTTGAATAGTCGGTGCATTCATATGGTGGGTTTGAATAGTCGGTGCATTCATATGGTGGGTTTGAATAGTCGGCGCAACTGTGTTCATGTAGTAGGTTTGAATAATCACTGTGTTCATATGGTAGTTCGAGTAATCAGTGTGTTCATGTAGTGGGTTCGAGTAATCAGTGTGTTCATATGGTGGTTCGAGTAATCAGTGTGTTCATATGGTAGTTTGAGTAATCAGTGTGTTCATATGGTGGTTTGAATAATCAGTGTTCATATGGTGGTTCGAGTAATCAGTGTGTTTATATGGTGGTTCGAGTAATCAGGTAAAAATAACTTTTCCAAGGCTATAAAGAAGACATACATGCCACGATATTCTTGAGATGTCCAAGCACTGCATGGATTCAAAATGAAAGTGTCGGTGGCTGTCTAATTCAGGCAATACCTTTAAAGCATTTACATGGATCTGCTTGATTCAACATGATCAACATCAATGTGATATAGTGGGTTTGAATAGTCGGCGCATTCATATGGTGGGTTTGAATAGTCTGTGCATTCATATGGTGGGTTTGAATAGTCTGTGCATTCATATGGTGGGTTTGAATAGTCGGTGCATTCATATGGTGGGTTTGAATAGTCGGTGCATTCATATGGTTGGTTTGAATAGTCGGCGCAACTGTGTTCATGTAGTGGGTTTGAATAATCAGTGTGTTCATATGGTAGTTCGAGTAATCAGTGTGTTCATGTAGTGGGTTCGAGTAATCAGTGTGTTCATATGGTAGTTTGAGTAATCAGTGTGTTCATATGGTGGTTCGAGTAATCAGTGTGTTCATATGGTAGTTTGAGTAATCAGTGTGTTCATATGGTGGTTTGGAGTAATCAGTGTGTTCATATGGTGGTTTGAATAATCAGTGTGTTCATATGGTGGTTCGAGTAATCAGTGTGTTCATATGGTGGTTCAAGTAATCAGTGTGTTCATGTAGTGGGTTCGAGTAATCAGTGTGTTCATATGGTGGATCGAGTAATCAGTGTGTTCATATGGTTGTTTGAAGAATCAGTGTGTTCATGTAGTGGGTTCGAGTAATCAGTGTGTTCATATGGTGGTTCTTGTAATCAGTGTGTTCATATGGTGGTTCGAGTAATCAGTGTGTTCATATGGTGGTTCAAGTAATCAGTGTGTTCATGTAGTGGGTTCGAGTAATCTGTGTTCATATGGTGGTTCGAGTAATCAGTGTGTTCATATGGTGGTTCGAGTAATCAGTGTGTTCATATGGTGGTTCGAGTAATCAGTGTGTTCATGTAGTGGGTTCGAGTAATCTGTGTTCCTGTAGTGGGTTCGAGTAATCAGTGTGTTCATATGGTAGTTTAAGTAATCAGTGTGTTCATATGGTGGTTCGAGTAATCAGTGTGTTCATATGGTAGTGTGTTCATATGGTGGTTTGAGTAATCAGTGTGTTCATATGGTGGTTCGAGTAATCAGTGTGTTCAAATAGTGGTTCGAGTCATCAGTGTGCTCATGTGGTGGTTCGAGTAATCAGTGTGTTCATATGGTGGTTCGAGTAATCAGTGTGTTCATATGGTTGTTTGAAGAATCAGTGTGTTCATGTAGTGGGTTCGAGTAATCAGTGTGTTCATATGGTGGTTCGAGTAATCAGTGTGTTCATATGGTGGTTCAAGAAATCAGTGTGTTCATGTAGTGGGTTCGAGTAATCTGTGTTCATATGGTGGTTCGAGTAATCAGTGTGTTCATATAGTGGTTCCAGTAATCAGTGTGTTCATATGGTGGTTCGAGTAATCAGTGTGTTCATATGGTGGTTCGAGTAATCAGTGTGTTCATATGGTGGTTCGAGTAATCAGTGTGTTCATGTAGTGGGTTCGAGTAATCAGTGTGTTCATATGGTGGTTCGAGTAATCAGTGTGTTCATATGGTGGTTCGAGTAATCAGTGTGTTCATGTGGTGGTTCAAGTAATCAGTGTGTTCATGTACTGGGTTCGAGTAATCAGTGTGTTCATATGGTGGTTCGAGTTATCAGTGTGTTCATATGGTTGTTTGAAGAATCAGTGTGTTCATGTAGTGGGTTCGAGTAATCAGTGTGTTCATATGGTGGTTCGTGTAATCAGTGTGTTCATATGGTGGTTCGAGTAATCAGTGTGTTCATATGGTGGTTCAAGTAATCAGTGTGTTCATGTAGTGGGTTCGAGTAATCTGTGTTCATATGGTGGTTCGAGTAATCAGTGTGTTCATATAGTGGTTCGAGTAATCAGTGTGTTCATATGGTGGTTCGAGTAATCAGTGTGTTCATATGGTGGTTCGAGTAATCAGTGTGTTCATGTAGTGGGTTCGAGTAATCTGTGTTCATGTAGTGGGTTCGAGTAATCAGTGTGTTCATATGGTAGTTTAAGTAATCAGTGTGTTCATATGGTGGTTCGAGTAATCAGTGTGTTCATATGGTAGTGTGTTCATATGGTGGTTTGAGTAATCAGTGTGTTCATATGGTGGTTCGAGTAATCAGTGTGTTCATATGGTGGTTTGAGTAATCAGTGTGTTCATATGGTAGTTTGAGTAGTCAGTGTGTTCATATGGACGTTCGAGTAATCAGTGTGTTCATATGGTTGTTCGAGTAATCAGTGTGTTCATGTGGTGGTTCGAGTAATCAGTGTGTTCATGTAGTGGGTTCGAGTAATCAGTGTGTTCATATGGTGGTTCGAGTAATCAGTGTGTTCATATGGTTGTTTGAAGAATCAGTGTGTTCATGTAGTGGGTTCGAGTAATCAGTGTGTTCATATGGTGGTTCGAGTAATCAGTGTATTCATATGGTGGTTCAAGAAATCAGTGTGTTCATGTAGTGGGTTCGAGTAATCTGTGTTCATATGGTGGTTCGAGTAATCAGTGTGTTCATATAGTGGTTCGAGTAATCAGTGTGTTCATATGGTGGTTCGAGTAATCAGTGTGTTCATATGGTGGTTCGAGTAATCAGTGTGTTCATATGGTGGTTCGAGTAATCAGTGTGTTCATGTAGTGGGTTCGAGTAATCAGTGTGTTCATATGGTGGTTCGAGTAATCAGTGTGTTCATGTAGTGGGTTCGAGTAATCTGTGTTCATATGGTGGTTCGAGTAATCAGTGTGTTCATATGGTGGTTTGAGTAATCAGTGTGTTCATATGGTGGTTCGAGTAATCAGTGTGTTCATGAAGTGGGTTTGAATAATCACTGTGTTCATATGGTAGTTCGAGTAATCAGTGTGTTCATGTGGTGGTTCGAGTAATCAGTGTGTTCATGTAGTGGGTTCGAGTAATCAGTGTGTTCATATGGTAGTTTGAGTAATCAGTGTGTTCATATGGTGGTTCGAGTAATCAGTGTGTTCATATGGTAGTTTGAGTAATCAGTGTGTTCATATGGTAGTTTGAATAATCAGTGTGTTCATATGGTGGTTCGAGTAATCAGTGTGATCATATGATGGTTAGAGTAATCAGTGTGTTCATGTAGTGGGTTCGAGTAATCAGTGTGTTCATATGGTGGTTTCGTGTAACCAGTGTGTTCATATGGTAGTTTGCGTAATCAGTGTGTTCATATGGTTGTTTGAATAATCAGTGTGTTCATATGGTGGTTCGAGTAATCAGTGTGTTCATGTAGTGGGTTCGAGTAATCAGTGTGTTCATGTAGTGGGTTCCGAGTAATCAGTGTGTTCATATGGTGGTTTGAATAATCAGTGTGTTCATATGGTGGTTCGAGTAATCAGTGTGTTCATATGATGGTTCGAGTAATCAGTGTGTTCATATGGTGGTTCGAGTAATCAGTGTGTTCATATGGTAGTTTGAGTAATCAGTGTGTTCATATGGTGGTTTGAGTAATCAGTGTGTTATATGGTAGTTTCAGTAATCAGTGTGTTCATATGGTGGTTCGCGTAATGAGTGTGTTCATTTGATGGTTCGAGTAATCAGTGTGTTCATATGGTAGTTTGAATAATCAGTGTGTTCATATGGTGGTTC